TCGTGGCGTTGTCGTCGTTATTTTCGTTGTGGTTATGTTGCTGTGGTTATGTTGTTGTTGTTGTTCTCGTCGTCGCTGTCGTCGTTGTGTTGTTGTGGTTGTTGTTGTTGTTGTTGCAGTAGTTATTGTTGGTGCTGGTGTTGGTGTTGTTACTGTTGTTGACATAACGTCGTATGAGCTTGAGTTTACGTAAAGAGAACTTAATAATGGCCATATCGGGCAGGGAAGGAATAGGATAGATAGGTAGACGCAGCAAAAGGAAAGAAGGAAAGAAAAGAATTAGGACTTACCAATGGCGCCCACCATCCGCATATTATACACCATGGTCATCGTTGTTGTTGTTTTTTTGTGCTGTTGTTATTGAAGTTGAAATAATATCATATTCATTCTGTATCACCCTTTGCGTTTTATTATCGTTCATTCAATCATGCGTATTGATATTTTTATCATATGTTCCTTTACTCATCATACCCGTAGTTGTACAACAAGAAATTAGCGACAGAACAAGTAGAAAAATGCTGCTTACAATAGAAATCTAAATGCTTTAAAGAAGTTCATTACGTGAATGTTATCTGTGGTGTAGAGGTAAGGCGCTTCACCGTCGCTCGCAGAATACCCGAGTTCGATTTTTGGCTGTTGTCTATTTGCTTTTGTTTAGTTTTGATTTTTGTTTTGTTGGTTTTTTTGTTGTTATTTTTTTATTGGTTTGGGGACTGTTACCGAGTATATCCGACTTTCTACTGTATCCCTCTCAGCCAGGGTTGGTCCCGTGAGGCAGGGTTATGCCCTCCTCCTTATTGTTCTTAATTGTATCGCGGGAGGCGTAAAATACTCACATTAAAAGTGAGAATGGGAGTAGAGAAAGAGTGGTCGGGGGGGGGGGGATCTTGTCAATGGTTTGTTGTCTCTGTTTAATATTAATAATAATAGAATCATTGGCGCTTTCGAATCCTCTCTTTTGAGTCAAGTGTGTTAATAATAAGACAAATGAGGTTAAAGGAGATTGTCTTATCTAAATAAACGCTGTTCTTGCTTGTGGTCTCTCTCTTTCTCTCTCTCTCTCTCTCTCTCTCTCTCTCTCTCTCTCTCTCTCTCT